ATTATTATTATTATTATTATTATTATTATTATTATTATTATTATTATCGCTACTATTTGGTTTCATCTTTCCTACCATTTTTATTTGGAATTGTAATTGGTTATTTCACAAGTGGATTAAGGTCTAGAAGAACCTGAAGATTTTGAATTGTTTGAAATGAGTAGGAAACTAACAGCCCCTGGTTCCTCAACTTCTACTTCTTCCTCTTCACCATCTGGAGGACAACGTTCAATACAGACAATGTTACAGCAAGAAAAGGAACAGGAAAAAGTGACCCTGCAGATGATTATGTAAGGAATTCAAAATATTCAAATAAGAACAGAAAATATTGAAAAGAGAACAGAGAACATTGAACAAAGAACAGAGAAAACTGATGAAAAGGTGGAGAACATTCAACAAATGATGATGAAGTATGATGAGAGATTCCAAAAAAAATGAAGAAGATAAACAAAGAGATAAGAAGATTGGAGACATTGATAGCAGATGAACTGTGGTTGAACAAGATAAAAGTGGGATGCTGAGATGGGAGATGGACAGATCAGAATTTTATCTCAGATTCCAAAACATAGAGGAAGAAAAGGGACAAAACCTAGCTGAGATAATGATAGAAATTTTGGCTGAAGCTTTGGAAATAACTAAAGAGAAGATGATGGATGAAATAGATGAGGTTTATCGAGTCTTCACAAGATATGCAATGAGAAATAGCTTACCAAGAGAAGTTCACATCAGATTTACAAAGAAAGCCATTAAAACGCAAATATTGCAAGTGGCAAGAGAGAAAACATTGAAATATAAAGACAAGGAGATTGTGGTCCTGAAACAAGTACCCAGAAGAGTGAGACAGATGAGAAGAGAATACTGATTTCTGACCAAAATGCTACTTAAAAAAGAGGTGAATTATAGATGGCTGATTCTAGAAGGTTTAATGTTCAAATGGCAAGAACAGAGACATAGAATTGACTCAATTGAGAAAGCTGAATCATTTTACACAGAATTTTTTGGAGGGAAAGAGGAAGAGGCAGAAAAAGAAATCTCACTAATTGAATTCCAAGAGGACTGCCAAATGGCGACTGAAAAAGAAGAAGGTGCAGTAGGTGGAAAGGTGGAAGCTAAAGAACAATGTGAACCAAGATCTATGAGAGATGCTAAACCTAACTACAAAATATAATCATGGAAGAAAAAAAACTGATTACAATTAATATAAATGGACTTAACTCAGCTGTTAAAAGAAGGAAAACTTTCCATAAATTAGAGAAATTAAAATTTGATATAATCTGCCTACAAGAAGTACATATCAAAAAGCAACATGAACAACTGTTGATACAGCCAAAATTAGGGGAAATATTTACTTCTTTGACACAATGCAAGAAAAGAGGAGTGGTTTTATACATTAAAGATATTATCCCAGTGAAATTGATCTATACTGATGACGATGGAAGAACACTAATGGTGGAAATAATGGACAATAATATGAAAACACTCCTGACTGCAATCTATGCCCCGAATGACAATCAAGAAGAATTTTATAAAAAAATTACACATGAAAATAATTGAACTGGACTATGCTAATATAGTTATGATGGGAGATTTTAATGGAATTGTAGATAATAAACTGGACTATACAGCACAGAAAACAACAAAGCAAAACAGAAATCCTCTCCCTAAATCTTTTTTTAAAATGGTAGATGAAATAAATTTAAAAGATACTTGGAGAGAAAGAAATGCTAAAACTAAACAATACACTTTCTACTCAAATAGACATTTATCATGGTCGAGAATAGATATGATATGGATGTCAACAGAATTGTTAGCTAATATTCAAGAAATAAATATTGAAACAAGTACTTGGGAAGATCACAATCCAATGACAATTAAATGGAAAGGACAAAGAAGAAGATCTAGATGGACATTAAATAATACTATATTAAAGGAAAAAGACTTCACACAGTGGATGGAGAAAGAAC